AAACCTCTGTGTTACAACCTACATACAAAAGACACACATTCACAATATATGGGTGTGTTTCAGACTTTACAGCGTTTGCAGACCCAGTGTCCATCATCCCTGCATTTGGCACAGGTGAATTTCTGACATGTTGCACAGGTAAACCTGCTGCGATTCCTGCTGCAGCTCTCTTGCACCTGGCACTGCGTTGTCTTTACAGTCCCTGGCACAGCAGCTGCAGCAGCTTCAGCAGCCTGCCTCTGTGCTAATATTTCCTTGAGCTGCATGAATCGGCAACGAAGTTGCTGAGCTAGAAGACTCAGAAACAATCTTCTTTTGCCTGTCCACCCTGTACATGCCTAAAAAAAATTCAATTTCTTCTTGGATCTGGATAAAATCTCTTTAGAGCAGAAATTGTAGAAGAGCTGGTTGAGAAAATGTTGTAATAATTATAACAAAATCCTCCAATGACAATGATAAATTTAAATTTGATTCATATATATCTATATAGAGCCAATTCACAACAGTCATCTCTGTGTACTTTACATTGTAGGGTCAAGACCTTACAGCACTCTACCCGTGAGAAAAGGTATTAGTTGTAGTAATTTATGATAACTGCATCAGAGGCTGCCTTCATGTGTGCAGGCTGCATTACCAGAGGCATGTAGGAAATGTAAAAATGGGCAGCTGTAATGCAGTGTAATATAGTGCATTAAGGAATAAAGGACAACAGATGCCTTATTAAATTGGCCAGTGGTGTACCATTCCCGCTCCAGTGACATATGCCGTTTCTTCCGGATAGTTTGTTCATTGTATTCCATCCTCACAGTCCAATTCCCAGCAGCAGGTGCTGATCTTCATACTTGTAGACTACCTTTACACGGTAATCAGACTCTCACATCAGCGTGCAAACCTGAGATCAGCTTTGCAGGCTTACAAGTGCTGCTGTAAATAGATAAATGTATATTTAATATCTGTCTTTATTGAAAAGTTAAGGTAAACAAGTGTACTTTCAATAATATTTTTCTTGTCTGTTTTTCTCTTGTTGCTTTTGACACCTTTTATTGTGAAATAATTCCATATCAAGAAATAATATTGGAGCTTGTGCAGCATGGCTAGTCTGTAAAATCAATTACAGAGCATCAAAGGCTATTGACTAAATAGTTTGTGAAATATATGGATCTCAATGATGCATGAGATACCCGAAATTTGTTACAGTTTTTTTTCTTTTTTCTTTGTTTATTTGCATGCTCTGTCTCCAAGCAACCCCTCCTGCAGGCTGATTGACACGATAGTTTCCCCACAATAACAAATCTTTAGTTATTTCAGTCCTGAGCTCAATATGACATTTTCAATTTAGCTTCAAATTATAAGCCCCCCTGTGAGATTTCCTGCTAAACAAACTAGGAATGTTTACATTCACTGCTAAACTTTCCAAAGCATACTGCAGACAGAATAATACCCTCCTTATTAACCATCTCGTTGATGTGTTTTTCATGAATATAATCATGGTGTCCCAGCCTTAGTAGTTAGTGGCATCAATTTCTTGGTGATTGTTATTTGATTCGATTTATTCATACAAATAGCAATGGAAAAAGTCCCAAAACGTATCTTTTTCTTTCCTTCTTTCTCTTTAAAGTGAGCCACAGAGCTATAGATCAAAGGACAGTGTGTCTTTTGATTGCTCTCTCTCTTTCTGCTTTGCCAACAACTCCAGCGTGACTTCGTCTTAGTCATCAGACATGAAAACCCTCAGGACACTCTGCGAGAGATGGAACAAATGTTTATTGCTCAAGCAGATTACAGTGCTAGCCCTTGTGGAGACCTCCTCTTTGTTTCTCGATTATTTCTTTGTGCAGGTGGTTGAATTTGTCTAGTCTTTGTCCTTGCCCAACACTTGAAGTATATTTTTTAATTTCCAAAGATCACTTAATCTCCAGAAATAAACTGATTCCACCTTTTTTTTGTAGTCATTAAGTGGAGGTCGTCTTGCTGAAATGTTGCTCAATTTGCAAAAGAGATTGCATTAATTATGTTTGAAGTCAGCTTTAGCGTTTGGTCATCTAACTCAATTTACTATATAAATGGAATGCTGTTTATTCTGTAGTCGATGGCTGTATGCAGATTATCATGGGTGGTAATTTTGCTCCGTTAATAATGTGGCGGGCAGTGGGCAGCAGTGCGGTGAGGTCAGACATGTGCAGTTATAAATGTAATGAAATGAGATAAATGTTAATTAGTCTAGGGTCATTTCAATGAGGTTAATGGCTGCATTCTCTAAGGCAAAGTTTTCAGCTGGGTTTGGAGCTTACACCCTCAGCAGCTGTACTCAACACATTTTCTTTCAGACCTCGTGCTTTACAGAAGCATATAATCATGAAGTCGAGCAAGTAGAGAAGCCTCACCATTAGAAACAACACCAAGAGCAGCAAAGCGATTGCAAAAAAAATCTACTGAAAAGGCCTAAAATACTTAAATAGCAAGTTGTACTTTGACAGTCTGCATTGTAAAGGAAATTCAAAAGTTTAGTCACGCTTCACTTGAGTGTTCTCCATTCAAATAGAGCGAGTTTGGGCTTTTTCACCTTCAACAAAAAAATCGGCAAAGGATGCATTTATCATTGACAATAATAATAATGCAGAACAGCATTTGCTCTAAGTGCTGTAGAAAATAAACCTCTGCTCTAAGCTCGCTCAATCGATTCCTTCTGCTATAGTATAATTTCAGCCTAGGTCAGTATTTGAATTGTATTTTCAGTATTTTTGTCCTTATTTTAAGAAAGTTAACTTTGGTGTAGTTACACAAGTATAGCAAAAAAACAAAAAGCAATGCCCCAGTGCCCCATTTGCAAAAGGTACTGTGTGGACAGCGGACTCCTCCTTATTTGTGTGTTTTCTGTCGTAAATGAGGTAAAGCTGCTCTGCAGAAAAATAAAAATAAACAAAACCCCTTATAATTATGGGGTTATGTTTGTTGGAGGTGGGTGGGCTGTTTGGGTTTTGTTTTGGGGTTTTTAATTAAATGGATAGACTCAAAAAATAATAAAAAATGAGAAACATATCTTCTAAAGCTTAACAGATAGTGAAATTGAATGAATGAATTGAATAGTCAATTTAACCTTGTTTTAATAGTTGTTTTTAATATTTGTCAATCATAATAGAAGTTAAAATGTGATTAAGCATTGTTAAGCATATGAATGCTGTCCTTTTATTATTTTTTGTCACGGCTTGAATATAAATTGCTGACCTAAATGGGTCTATTTAAACTTACTACTGACTCATGTACTCATTGTTCAGAATGTATGGGTGTTAGCATGAAAACCCAAATGTTGAATGGCATTAACTGATTTGCTGTGTGACCTGTTAACATTGTGTGTTGCATTGTTTTTTTTTTTCAACTTCTGAAGCAAAACCACTATATGAAATTTACTGTGTGTGATATTAGCAAGACTTGTTACCCTTACTTACTGAGCCTGAGCATTTCCCAGCAGCCCTCCCAACTTCAAAGGCCCCTGCTCAGGCGCACTATACAGTAGCCACCTTCCCTGTGCATCTGAGCAATGAACTAAATTAGATTTTCTTCACATCTCTGCTTCTCTTTCTAGTTATTACTTTTTGAACACAGCTGGGACCGTGTTTTTCTACATCCCCAGTCTGTGGGACACAGCAACAATTTCTCAAATTAGAACATTAATAATGACAATATCGTGAGGATACCTGAGTAAACTGTGCTTTTTCTTTTTGCGTGTGGGTTTGCTTGTTTGCTTTGTGTGGGCATGCTGTTTGTGTGCGTTTGTGCGTGTGTGCACGCGTGTGTGTGCCTTGACAATCCAGGTCCTGTGGACAGAGCAGCAAGTGGTGAAAAAGAGGAAGAAGAGGGATGTGTATGAAGACCTAACAGATCCTGATTTCCCTAAGCAGTGGTATCTGGTATGTAGACTTCCTTTAGCTTCCTACCATCTATCTCATTAGTTTGACATTATTACTAAAATGTTAAAATTGGGAAATGGAATAATTAAAATGCTTATTAAATACCATATATAATGAGATTTTCAGTAGCATGGTTCTAGTTGTCTAAAAGAGATATCTCTATGGCTTCACCAACAAATAAAGTGGGTGTACAGTCAGCTGACTATATAGTGGCTGCTACTCATATGCATTTGAAATCCCACTTTACATTTTCAAGCCGTCTCTGTATTCAATCATTTCAGTAGCAGCCTGTAGGAATGCCTGTTTTCAAGCTGTATTCTTTGTTGAAGTAGAAGATTTATATTTAAATACAGCCGGTCCGGTAATCATAGGATGTTTTGCTCCGTTATGGGCTATTCTTTACCTGTCCTGTTTTAACCTCCTGCAACTTTTTTTTGTCAGTCAAATATATAATGTAGTGCCTTCCACGATGTTGAGTTGAATGTGCAATTACATGTCAGGATAGATCACCTGTGAAGCATCGATGGCATATAATGTTGCCTCCATGTCTGTTTCATTATTCGCAGTTTTTCTCAGAGATGCCTCAATTCACCTTAATCCCCCCCCTTTTTTTTTTCACTACATAAAACCTCTGTCAGTGCAGCGGATTAATGACAACATTGACTATCCCAGACATAAATCACCAATGAATAGAAGTTGTGGAACTACCTCTGCCATTCAGCATTAGACTTCTAATCGTCTCAGGCCTTAAACCCTTTTTTTCCTATTTCAAATACATCGCAAAGCTCTGGCTTAAACAAACAAATAAACAAAGCTGGTTTAGCTGAACGCACAAACCACCAGTGCCGGAGTTCTGTTTTGGTCGCATAATAAATTTATGGGATTTAGAATTCTTTTATAAAAGGTTTATTTAGCACAGTCACTTTAGGGCAAACTTAAGTGATGTATTGAGTTGTGTCTGCCTGAATTTAATAATGTGTATTTAATGTATTCATAAGTTTCAGCTACGTGCACTTCAATGTGAAGTCAAAGGGAAACTGGAAAAAGAAAAGGAGGCAGAGGAGATTATCTTAATGTCTTTCTGTTCCCGTATATCTGTGTTTATTTGTAACCATCTCTGTCAGCTCTCGCACTCACCTCTCCTTATTCTTCGAGCTGTACAGATTTTCACTTATTCCTCCAAATCACGCTTTACCGCTGCCTTTTGTCTGCCTCCCTCCCTCTCCTCTCGAATGCTGCCGAATGTTATTTCTTCAGCACGAGAGGCAAATGCTCTCTCCCCAAGATGCCTGACCTGCAACAGTTTGTCTTTCTTTTTCACTGACAGCAAAACAACAGTAGGATGTTCACAACGGGCAACTCATCCTGAGGAGGCAGACATACCGGGGTGCTGCATTAAAATGGGAGTTTAAAATGTTCATGAAGCACCTCTGATCTCCCCTCGTATCTTCTTGGTGTCAGGTGTATCAAGCGATGCTGTTTTTAATAACATGGAGCAGAGAAGGTCTTCGCAGAAGATGTAGGACCTTCTTTCACTGACAGACCTTTTCTGTCATTTTGTCTCGGAAAAGTCAGTCATGGCAGATTGACAGCTGAACAAAAGCCTTTGTCTCTTCCAGTCCAACCCAACACATCAAGATCTGAATACAAAAGCAGCCTGGGCTCAGGGCTACACAGGAAGAGGTGTAGTGGTCACTATCCTGGATGATGGCATTGAGAAGGACCATCCCGACCTCATAAGCAATTACGTAAGTCCTAAATTTCAAATAGCAGTTCTTGTTCTTGTCCCAAACTTCTCAACACACGATGCATTTTGAAATTCAATTCAATTCAATTTTCAATTCAATTTTATTTATATAGCGCCAAATCACAACAAAAGTTGCCTCAAGGCGCTTCATAGATACAGAGAAAAACCCAACAATCATATGACCCCCTATGAGCAAGCACTTTGGCGACAGTGGGAAGGAAAAACTCCCTTTTAACAGGAAGAAACCTCCGGCAGAACCAGGCTCAGGGAGGGGCGGGGCCATCTGCTGCAACCGGTTGGGGTGAGAGAAGGAAGACAGAAAAAAGACATGCTGTGGAAGAGAGACAGAGGTTAATAACAGATATGATTCAATGCAGAGAGGTCTATTAATACATAGTGAGTGAGAAAGGTGACTGAACCAGTTAACAAAATGTCTACTAAACTGGTGATGATAAAAGGGCAACTTTTTGATATGTATTTTGATTTTCATGCTATTCAGTAAGAAATATAGCCACTAAAATTTCGTACTTCCTTTGTTTTATCAGCTGTATCAAAATCATCCAAAACCCTTGTGCACACAAAAGGTCCAACCGACAGCTTTTCGGGTTTTTTTTTTTAAATTTAGTCACAGAAGACAAATTACACTACACAACTATGGACAAAACAATTAAGCCAGCTCTTTAAAAGAAATGTAAAATCACTTGATTGGTGTCATAACCTTTTCTTATTTCTCTTTTAGGACCCTGAGGCCAGCTATGACGTAAATGATGGAGATACTGACCCTCAACCAAGATATACACAACGAAATGAGAACAGGTAATGTGCTAGCAAACTTGAAATATACATTTTTATTTAGTGATTAAATCATTTGGAATAGACTGTCCACCTCTTGTTTTATTAGTTATATTTTGCTCCCTGAAAGCTGTAGTTATCAGGGACTGGTGAGAAAGAAAGTGGATTCCGCTTTGGGTCCAGTGCTTTTGGCTCAGGCATTTGCACTCAGAAACCAATTATTTAAGTGTGGAAGTACGGGTGCAGTCATTCTGAACTCTCTTGAAAGATTGTTCCCCTTTTTTCTTGCTTCAGCACACAACTCAAGTTGCTGTAACATCAATCCAGCCCATAACGCCGCACCACCAAAATAGCACTTATTTGTTGCCAATGCAGCTCTTGTTTACTTGCCCCCCATTGACTCATGCTCTTCCCAAATACAAATACAGACCATTTTTTTCCCTTCCAGTCTTTGGTGATCACATGAAAACATGTTTGTCCCAGTTTATTGATGGAACACTAAAGCGTCAGCAAGAATGAATCCTTATCTCTCATCCCCTCCTCTCTCCTCATTTCTCAAAACGCTATGGTCCTCTGCTTTTGTCCAATCCCCCCTGGAGCAGATGAGAAGCTGCATCCCGCTCTGAAATCCACAGCAGGATTTGTCTCAAATCTCTCTCTTTTCGTGCCACTAAGTCTTTTTGTGGTTGTATGTTTGTTTTTCTTTGTTAGTTTTGTTTCAAAGCATAGTATTTCCAGTTACAGTTGGTCAGAATGAAAGGCCGAATGGGCTTAATGTTTTTTTAGTTGTTGTTGTTTTTTTTAAAAGAAATTATTAAAAGCTGTTCAAATAGATCTGCTTCTTTACAGTTGCTTTTTGGTGCTTTGACGTTTGTCTCTTTAAGCAGCTTCTGTTGTTCGTCTAGTTTTGCTTGGTTTTTTTTTCTGTTATCATCCAAAATATGATCTGTTCATCTGCAATATTTATTCATCTTGAAAGAGGCTGGCATCTGCAATTTTTGCACAGACGCCTGTTTCTTGTCCTTGCCGACAGCTTGAGCAGCCATGCAGAGCGAATCCAGCCTTTCCTGTCAGTGTATCGTAGATCCCACTCTGTCGTGCTGATCGAACAAAGCACTACTGGAGGGGATTGCTCTCTGACTCTGGCTTACTACAGCTCCCAAACTGCACCATGCTTATACTTTCCAAACATAATAAAAACATGAAATGCATGGGTTTGCACTTACGCGCATTCTACTGCTGCTGTCGGTAGAGCTGCTAGAGTAATTATCTGACATTGGATCAATTTCTGAGCATAAAATGAATAGCAAGGGTGTGTCTTTGTGTCTACAGTGTGGAGCTTTGGTGTTTGGAGTGACCTGTGGACAAATTATATCCAATGAGTTATGCAAATCTCCACAAAGCAATGCAGGCTGACAGTGAGTAATGCTCACAACCCCCTCACAAGGAGATTATATGAATATATTCATAGGACAACAAAAAGCAGAGGAGACTCAGAGGAAGGCATTTTTCCAGAGTCATGGAGGCCAGTTCATTTGTACTGATGACACGCAAGGCTGATTTTTCAATTCTCATCTCAGGCCTTTTTCTATTGAGATGCTCTGTCTTGACTTGGCAGTTATTCTTGGAGGGGAGTGCATGTTTAGTTGAAGGCCAGTAATTCATTTGTGCTTCATCAATAAAATATTTGTGTTCGTCATTATCGGAATCGGGGTATTAATTCTGATAACGGCATGGATATTTATCAGTCCAGCTGTGAGTAAGGAGAGTTTTAATGAAAATTTATCACAGCACAGTTTTAATACATTTTGTATTTGTGAAAGATTCTAATGAAATTCCAGCTGGGCCCATAATGATACACGGTAACACTGGTTACACAAATGTTAGGACAGTCTGTCATTTAAATCAATTGTGTAAAGGCTGAGGAAGGTTAATGTATATGCCATTTTTAAATTTGATGTGACTGACATTAAAAAAAGAGACGACTACTGTTGTCTAACGTTATGCACTGCAAAACATAAAACATTTTATGAAACATAATTCACAAATATGATGCGTAATATGATTGAAGTCCATCTCGACCACTTGATAACAATGTCCTACATGGACATCATCCTTCAGCCTAATCAGGTTTTATGTATGTGGCTAGAGAACGGCCACATACATAATGTCAAAGGTGGAGGAGAAGAGAACTCGTAGGCATTCGCCTACTGTGGAGGCAAATTTTAATTCATGTCTGCACCTTCAGATTCAAGGTGATACCTATGTTTCATCATCTGCGCAGAGGTTTCCACCAAAGAAGTGAAAACACAAAGGAAAGAGACAACGTGACCACCATCTACAGAAAACATCTTCACCTCAGTCCTCGACTCCTGAACCAAAGTCAGGACTGTACCACACGTAAATGTGCATAAAAATTGTTTATTTATTCCCTAATATTGTCACAATTACTTATTGTCATCAGATCAGACATGTGACCCAATCCTGTCTCCCGACAGCTGACACTGAGCCAGTTAAACAGCATTATGCAAGCTAATGTTGAGCTCAAGTGTCCTAAAAAGCGCTCATTCTCTCTGATAAACAGTTTGATTACATTTTCACATCGTATGAGAGTTTATTTGCCAAGTGTCCAAGTCAACCAATGTTAAATCCACTTTACTGACAGCAGCTAACATCGGCAAAAACAGCAGTGGTTAGCTACAGAAAAGTTCAGGATATCCCCAACAACTCAACTATTGTTCTCATCGGGTGGAAGTGAGTTTCGCTGACTTAACGACTCCTTTCACAAAGTTTTACAGCTTCCTCCGGGGTAAACAGATGTGGACACATATGGACAGATGAGATAAAAAGGAGACTGGCCGACTACATTTGCTTTTTGTCCTACAGCAGCCACTGTAACTAGAATTATGCACTCATGTAAGAAAAAAAAGAGCTCAGTTAACTGCAGTCTGTAATCTACTGACATCTAGTGGTGAAATTTTACACACTGTAACTTCAGGTATTTCTCAACCTAGAACGTTTTAAGCAATTTCCATTTTAGGAGTTGGGATTGTTACGATTTTATTGACACCAGTGTCACTGTTGATTCTGCTGATCAATCCGGTTCTTTATCGATTTTCAACATTGATTTTTAGCTCTGCTTTATGTGAGGGAACACATGCAGCTACGTAAGTTTTTAGCTTTGTTATCTAGACAGAACACTACCTAATGCTAGCTGTAGCATCAGCCTCTCGGTAAACATCTTGAATGAAGAAAATCAGAGAATATTCTTAGGCTTTCTTTGCTAAAGAAAAATGCACAAAGTATAACACTAATGTTATCATATTGCAGGATATTCAGTGTCATTTACAGATGAGCTGCTTGATTGGACAGCAGCAGTAGCACTATTAACAGTGTTGGGGAGTAACGGAATACATGTACCGCCGTTACCTATTTAAAATACAAAATATGAGTAACTGTTACAGGTACCGTTTAAAAAGGTGGTATTTAGAATACAGTTACTTTGTTGAAATAAATGGATTACACGCGGTACTTTCCTGTTTCATATTGTGGCGGGTCAGGACTGTTTGGGTTTTGTTTGACAGCTACGTTCTGTTGTTCCAGGCGGC